CATTGGTCGTCTTCACACACCACCAATCACAGCACACGTCCCTTACTGACGCCCACCATGTCGTCAACTATATCGCGCGTGGGATTTCCCGCCGAAATCTGGCTATACGTCTGCAATTTCCTCGACAGTGTCGACGTCGCTGCGCTCGCGCAAGTCAGCATCGAATTTCACATGAACCTTCAGAAGGAGGTTTATATCGCGGCGATGCGCGATGACAACACCGATATCATTGTGAGGAGCGCCGCGACAGGGAACCTGGCCACTCTCCAGCGCATAGCGTCGCACGGCGCGAACATGAACAAGACTTATCCCGCCGATCCTCCCCAGCATCTCAAAGACTGGGTCGAGTGGGCGAAGAGGCGGGACAGTCAAGAGGTTCCAAGCAAACAAGGTGTCGAGGTCGCACTGTCGAAAGCCTGCTTCGCGACCCCCTTGCACCTCGCCGCGAAGGGCGGGCACTACGATGCCGTCCGGTGGCTTCTAGACCAGCACTCTGTCGACATGGAAATGCCGGCGAGGTTTCTATGCCACTGTATTCCTCCAGGCACTTATCGGGCTCCCGCGGGTCCAATTCTGGTAGGGCAAGCCGTGCCGGCCTGGACGCCCTTACACATAGCCATCTGTAACCAACAAGTCTCCGTCTCCCGCCTGCTGATTGCTCGCGGCGCTTCGACTCGCAGTACAAACGTGGGCCACCGCTCTTCAAAATTCCCTCGCTTCAACCAGGCCTTCGACACTTACTGGTGGGGGTTGGATCCAACAGAGTATCAGGGGCCAGGAATGGTGTCCGCACTCCAATCTGCCGCCCTGTCCGGCAACAGATCCATCATCACAGAGCTCATACAGCGCATGGGAACGGACGTTGACGAAGTCGTGGAAGAAGGCGGTGCGACGCCGCTGTATTACGCTATAGCGGCGTCTGATACGCACACGGTGGCTCTCCTGCGACGTCTCGGGGCCAGGCCAGAGCAGTCCTTCGAGTCGTACGCGTTGAATGTCAATTACGACAACGTTATTGAATTCGCTCTGGCCAGTGAATGGCCCGAACCGATAACCAGCATTTTCGAATTCTCTCGCACCAAAACAAAGTCAGGTACGGCAACCTGTCTCATTTCAGAACCAGGCGCGGCCTGGTGCAGTTCTCCAGGCAGCGACGAGAAAGTCGTCTCGAGACTGAGACGATTACTCTCAAAGGCAAGATCCCAGCATTGGACCAAAGATTACTACAAACATCTGGCACCGGGTCTGGACGAGAGGATGTCGGATATCTTGCGCCATACCAAGAAGCAACACGAACCTCACTTTGGGCCTCTTGACCAGGAGATGCTCGATTGCTTCTTGATTGCGTGCCAGTGCAGCTGTCCAGCGCTAGAGACCTCCACCCTTAAAAGGTTTCTGTTGCAGCCAGAAGTTAATCTCAAAAAAGTTGTCGATCATCGAGTTGGGTCTACAGTGATAGAATACTACGACGCTGAGTCTTCGATTCATTCAGATGTAGCCGTCGAAGAGGATCATTTCCGCGTCACGACTTGCACTATCGGCCTGCTTGCGCTGCATGCGACTATCAACGCAATCAACCCCCGGGCCTTTCCCAGAGCATACAAAGAAGGCAATGCGGCCTTGGTTCATACGATCGAGTGGCTGATTACGGAAGGGGCTTCTCCCACTATCACACCTGGTATGGATCTGAAGTGGAGTCCCCTTCGTTACTTCTTCGACACTATCACGGAGACTTGGCCCTGGGACTGTGTAACAGATGGTTATCAGGGTGATTATTTGGCTGAAGAAGTAGCCGACATTGTCAAAGTCCTTGGGGAGGGTGGTGGATGGTTTCCCTTGGGGGAAGAGGATGACGAGGCAATGTTAAGCACTGTACAAGCCTGCCATAATGCCCTGGAGCGTGTACTGCCAGTAAAACCCTATCGCAGGGATATCGAGATTATACGAGCTCGCAATGAGATCGAAAGCTGTATGCCGCCCAGAGTTCTTGGGGCTTGGAAGATCTTGGGTTCATGAGGGGGTTCTTGGGGCGCTGGGCGGAGACGTTCGGACGGCTTTTGTCCTACATACGCTCGACTTAGAATATCAAAGTGCTGAATGGCCATTTTGAGCCTTTGTTCCCTCGCCTATGTGATGTGGCAATGTAGACTGTGGTAGAGCAAAGTCACCATCCCCTGACTCCGCGCTGCCATAATGAAAGCCTCCACATCGCCTCATGAAGCCTTGGCCATCATAGGTAGGCCATGGAACTTAATCCTTGATGAACCAAAGTCGGCTTCGTCATCTCCACTGACATCGCGAAGCAGACGACAACCTCGCTCGCCGCTCTAGGGCGACGCTCTTCTTACGTCGTGCAGCTTCATGCTGATGTCTATAGCTCAACTGAGCGACAAGCAATTCTATCAAACCCGTCCTGCTCCTCAAAGTTCTTCCACCCCTCCATCAAAATCGATCATCGCCTTAGTTCCGTTTCGCAGTTGAAACCCAGACGTTGATACTCAAAGCACGTCTAGAGTCTAGCGTCGGCCCCGGAAGCTTTAGCCACGCTTCCCCTAGTCCACCAAAGCCTACTAGCCTAGCTTCAACTCATTCGAGACGGCCTGCCAGCGCCCGGACGTTGAACGGGCAAGACGCCTCTCCCATACGCCTCGTGGCCTCCTCTTCGTTCCACGCCGGCGCCGGATGTAGTGTCACAAACGTACTTTCGGAGCCGGCTGGGTGTTTCTGACACTTCAGATCATCGTCCAGTTCGTCCAATGGCATCATTACGTCTCAACCTGACGTTGGCCGCCACCGGAGCTGTTCATCGCACCGTCGCCAGTGTTCTTACCCACATCATTCAGATAGAGGATGCCTCTGAGACTAATGTAGAATAGCTGGTCAAATCAGATCTTCAAATGAACCCCCATTCACTCTGATGTTGAATCATCCGCCTCTGACAAACATCATGGCAACCACGCCACCCATCGACGATCAGTCAGAACGCTATCTCGTAGCAATCTCGCGAATAGCCCCCACAAGACCAATGATGGACTGCAATCCCCGCCATCCTACCTCACCTCGAGAGAGCCGGAAAATCGGTTCCGATCTTGTCAACGTCTGAGCGCCGACTTGCGAGGGCAACACTGCAGCCGTGGCAGTGTCAAGAGCATTTCAAGAAAGCACGCCAGCCACCTTCTCGGACGCCTGAACGCCAACTTGCATCTCGGATTCGGGTTTGTTGATGGGCGATTTGACGAGACTCTGCCGAGACATTGAAAAAAAAGAAACGTCAACAACGAGAGAGACCCGAACGGATACGTGGTTTGAACCAAACGTGTTCAAAATCAGGTCCAATACCACCGTCCATCACTGTTCAAACGGTCAAACCACATCAGAATTTCGATCTACATCAAGCATCCCAAACATTCACTTCCGCCATTGATGATCCAGAACCTACATTAGCCCTCCCACCCACGATTCACTGCCGGTACCAACACAGCTCACCAGAGAACCACCACTGCAACCCATCCTTCGGCTTCCACCCGCTATCAAAACACCGAGAAACAAAGACTGAATCCTACCTTACGCACTTAATGCAAGGCACGCCGCGGGAAAAAAACCATCGAAATACACCGCAGACCGCAGACGTTCATTTCTTTCCCTTGTGCCTTCCCCCTCCTGCTGCATATCGGTGCCCGCGCCGCAGCCAAGAAGTGGTCGTACCCTCAGATTAGCCCTGCAAAGATGCACCCCAGGCCTGCATGCCCAGCCCTCATCTACTCCTAACCCCCAACGTACGCATGCGCGCCCGCGCCCGCGAGCCGCGAGCCGTAAGCCGCGGAAAAGGGTAGCACTCATACTCCGTAGTTCCGTACCAAACGCCGTTCATCACTGGTTGACTACCAAAAGCCATCCGCACGGGCGCGGCGGCGGGGGAAACCAGAAGAAAAATGAAAGCCACAATCGCAAAAGGTAAGCCCAGGGCATCAAGACATGGCACCGGCACACGTCCACCACGTCAACTCGTGCCGTCCTGCCGCCGTCGCATCCACCCAAAAGACGAAAGAACTCTTCTTGCCCTTCTCCGTTGCGCGGGGGGAGTCGAAGGTTACAAGTTCGCCCCTCTCATGTCTCTTCTCCCCCGCTGAAGTCAGGTAAAGGCCTGGTAGGAAGTCAATTACTAAACCCGAGAAAACCTGCCGTTTCCTGGTAGTTGCCAAGGATGTAAGAAAGAATGAGGGTAGCCGGCCAAACGTTCGCAACCGCCCTCCCACCATCCGGAAAGCTCGAAAGCTCCCCCCCCAATCCACTGCAACCCTATCAAAACGGGGTTCAGCGGGTGGGCAGGGGAGGTATGTAGGCAATATGGGTGGTGGGCAACGTTCACAAGACCCAGGGATGCCATGCCGTGCAGTATCCCGTGCAGTACGTCCGCACGTAGCCGCGTTCCCCCCCCCCCCCCCCCCCCCCCCCCCCCCCCACCCCCACACAACGGGGTGGGGGGGGGGGGGGGGGGGGGGGGTGGGGAAAATGGGGGGGGGGCCCCCCCCCAAAAACCCCGGGGGGCCCCCCCGCCCCGACCCCCGCCCGGACCGCCCCCCCCGGCCCGCCCCCCCCCCCCCCCCCCCCCAGAAAAGCCGCATCGAATCATGAACTGTCCCGGCCAGAGTTTGCGGCTCTCTGTCAGACTGTCGTCAGAACTACAGCTGACATCATGTCAAGCCCCTTCAGACATTCAGAGTTGGCCCAATGATCCCTCCAACTGGGTGTCCTCATATTCCTCCATCAGAAACTGTGAATAGTACTGTACCCAGACAGTCAAGGGCGGGGTCACACAGAAATGAAAGGATTGAGAAGGAAGATAATACCCTGACGCAACGACAATCAAATCCCATCGGCGCCAAGTTTACCAACGCTCTCAACGGCCACGACTCCATCCCCGAACACACGCCAGCGTACCATCGTCACAACTGAATAAGCCACCTCCCCCTCTAACCACATGGCGAACGGAGACCTCCTCAATGCCTGACCATGCTTTGCCGTCGCGGCGTTGCCTTTTTTTGCCTCCCTCCTCCCCATCGCCATTGGAGTATCCATACTGGCCAAAAAAGCCTGGGCCAGACAAGATCCAAAAATGACCCGGATCCTCTATCCCCTCCTCTCTCTCCACCCCCACCCAACCAGCGTCGCGGGAAGTTTTGAAACCAGGGGTTCCCCGGCCTCCCAAGCAGTGAATGTAGTGCAAATCGCCCGCTGCCAGATGGTGGAATGATGATGCCGGGAATGATGGGACCTGTCAATGGCCCTACCAGAACCAAAAGAATGGGCGAATTGGTCAGGCCTCCCATGAGCAATTACTATATGCGCCACTGCTGATGGGACTCAGCTCAGCCCCCAAAAATCAAGACCCGACTCATGAGCTTTGCTGATCCGTCCATGTCAGCCGAAGGGAGGAAAATAGCTTTGAGGCATGAAGGAAAAGAGTTCATCAAGACAAAAGATCGGATTGTTGTCGAAAAAAGAAAAAAAAGACGACTCGCGCCGGTAAAGCCGAAGACTGCGTACGCTCGGATTCGTCATGCGGTCATGGGAATATGGTCTCGGCCCAGAGCAGGGACCCGCGAGTGTGGCTGGGGAGAAAACCGGATTGAGGTATCATGAGTTTTTATTTTTCATTATGGATCGAGTCCACTTTGCTACGTAAGAGTCCAGGATGGACTAGTTCAGAACCCATCCTCTCCATGCCATGCCTCTGTGAAGTCGCTTCCAACGCTCGATGCTTATGCCTAGCACCTGAACTATCTGGATGTGACTGAAAATGTCCTTTTTTCGAGCTAAATGACGAAGTCCATGTTACGAATAAAGGACGACGCTCTCCATGTGGTATCATATCAAAGACGAATTGCAAAAACGTGTAAATCCAGCCAAAGAAGAATGTGTCAGGGAATGACGGGTCGTAATCATTTAATATCCGTTGCACTGATCGCGTTGGTATCAATCAGGAAACGGTCGTGTCGGCGTGTTTAAAGTGTGGCGCTGGCGTTGGCGTTGATTAAGGCGTGGCGTCCTCATCGACCAAGGTTTGTAGGGTCATGGGATCTCGGAGGCGTCGAGCCTTGTGAATGGCGACGAGGTAATCGACGAGGCCTTCGGCATCTGCGCGCAATGCGTCCAGCTCCTCCTTGGTACATCCGGTTGTTTGTGAGTCCTTGCTTGGATAGCGGTAGGCGGCAAAGACAATGCCGCGATCGTTCTGGGCCACGTCTTGCGGACCCGGACTCCGGGGACTCGAGTTTGCGGAGCCCCTTCGACCTGTGGCCGTGTGGAAGGCGTGGCCGTAACCCCGTGCAATCTCGCCCGCCTGCGCGTCGTCGCTGCGGTATTCCATCCAGCCCTCCTGCTTCAAGATTCTGGACTGAACTGTGGCCGAAATGCGGAAAGGGCTAGTCAGGTTCGACAAACCGTAGGCGGCGAGCAGACGCCCAGTCATACCGGGAGTTGTGTCCACCGTTGGTCCATCCATGGGCCCAAGAAGAGAGTTTCTCATGCTTGAGGGCCTTGATGAGAAATCCATAGAAGAACGGAACGTGGGCGACGACGACTCTGACGCTCCTTCGGGCCACAAGTTGACGATATATACAAGGTCAAACTTGTGCTTGGCCGCGATCTGGGCAACCTGCAGCGCTCCTTCTTTGGCGACGTCTTCAGCATGGATAGAAGATGTCCGTCGCTTGGAACCGACCGATGACACCGTATAGGCAGGGGTCGGCGGTGAGGGTGGTAGCCGCAAAGGTGCCGGCATAAACGGGGTTTCCGGGGTATCCTCCAACTCTGGCTCTTCCAAGATGTCTTCGTCGGAGAGGTTGAAGAAATCCATGACATCTCCACCTTTGAGGATCTGGCTTGATGAAGTGATGGATCTGTGAGGTCTTGACTGACCCTGGGGCCGACGCAAGGCAGCTGCCTTTTCCTCTCTTCGACGTCTTGTCGCTGCAGCAGCCGCCTTCCTCTTGGCCAAGCTCAACTCTGCAGAATCCCGGGATCTCATGTCGTTGATGGGCCTCATTTCTGGAGATGCGGCAGGTGTTGGCAGGTCTCTGCTGAGTGAAGAAGAAGGCCGGCCCTGGGATCCCTTTATGCTTGAGTCGTCCTCGTGGTCCGAGGTAGGTGGGGTGTCGGCTCTGGGAGGGATGATGACAGAGCTGTGGCGGTGCTCGAGGGAAACTTTATGCGTTGTGGGGAGGGTTCTCGGAGAGAAAGTGGCACTAAAAGGCGAAGCCGGGGATGGGGATGTGGGAGGAAAAGGAAAATCGAATCCACGCAGACTTGCCACCGGCTTACTTTCCCTGCGGTGATTGAGCGACATGGAGCGGGCTGGAAGAGTAAGAGTTGTCGTGCTTGCACTGCTGAGGTGAGAAATGTGTATTGAGATACGCTCGGACTGGTTTTCCGGGAGGCTCTGGGCACGTCTCTCATTTTGTGATGCTACAATGCGCTCCTCTCTAGCCTTCATGCGGGAGACTCGCGGACGGATGAAGGAAGGCTGAGGGAAACTGTGGTCTAAACTTGCAGTCCTGGGACCCGATGACTCCATGGTCGGCGTCGATGGGCTTGTTTGGACGGAGAAGTCTTTTTTCCGGGAGAAGAGCTTCTCCAAGCGGTCGAAGCTGGTAGGCATGGTGAAAGAGGTCGAGTGACGGCTACTTGCGCGTGTTTGTCTGATCTCCAGAGAGTTTTGTAAGTTCTTTGCGCTCGGATATGAGATTGGCAGGAGGGCCACTTGGGCAGACAAGAATAAAACATACCAGATATGAGACGTGATTATAAGTATTATGAGTTAAGTCAACCGCGAGAGGCGGGTGGTTGGTATGACGAGGGGAAGAAATTTTAGAAATCAATCCTGTGAGAGGGACGTGTGTGGTCGTCGAGACACTGAGGTGTGAGGGAAGGAGCGAGGTAGAGAGTAAAAATGGGAAGAAGAGGCCTCGGCCACAATGTTGAGAGCTGACCAAAGTGAAGTCACAGTGAGACAGAAAGTTCGGGGGCCACGAAAGTAGGCAGGAACACCCGGGCAGAAGTAATGGTAGACCAGGAGAGGCCAACAATTGGAGTGAATCGAGTCTCACTGGATCAGTTAAGTGAATCCAGAACACCCCAAGGTGACGCGAGAGTTGAACCGGTAATCAGGCGAAGGGTCAGACACAGGAATGAAGTGGTCCCTCGTCTGCGCGACGTCGGCTGAACGAACTCGAGAGCAATGAGCCGAAGAATGGGCCACACAGAAACCCTGACTGAGAATGTCGTGGAGAGATTGGCTGGAGGCGGTACTTGTACGATCAAGATTGTACGACTCTTCGGTGAGACAGGTCGTCAAGGTGAGATGGGTCGTGATATATAAATGGCGGGCATCTGGTTTTTTTTTTTTTCCCTGAGCTTCTAGGTCGTCGTCGACCGAACGAAATGGTTGGGTGGGAATGGGGGGCGTTTTGTAGAATTGTGCTGCCAGAAGGAAAAGGCGAGACACGATATGGGAATAAGAAAGGTGGAAAAGTGGAAAGAGGTAGTAGGTACCGCAGCCTTCGGTATCAGTCGGATGAAGCTGTAGGCAAGGGGTAAAGGCAAGGAAGGTAGCTCAGCCTGGAGGTTGAAGCTGGAGCTAATGGCAAATGTGACTGTGAGGTGAGGGTGAATGCGATAGGACCGAGCAGGGAATTAAGTTATAAGGATGCTTATGATGGAAAATGAAAAGTCGACCGAAGATCAGCACAAGACCGAGGGTGAAGTACGGTACTGAAGGCTAAGTAGGGACACGGGCATGAAGAGAGGGACTGGAGAAGTGAAGGCTTTAAGATATGACAGTCGAGGCTGGTTGAAACGCGGCGACGGGACGGGCCAAAAGACTGAGGTACTTTTTGAGGGTCGAATCCTCCTCAAGGCGAGTGTGAGAGGGTGAAGGTGACGGGACTCGGGAGGGTGAGGGTGCGCTCAGATGTAGAGGTAGCGTCGGGGTCAGAGATTCGGGTCGAGGGCCAGATCCAGGTCCATGTCCATGTCGAGCTGCAGCAACGCCGGGGAAGGTAAGTGTGGCTGCTGTCTAAGGTGCTGTGTGGTCTCTGACACTGTCGAGAACCAGTGTCTCTGACGTGAAGTATCCGTATGGAGGAGAGAGAGGTTCTAGCGGGCGTGGGAGCAGGAGTGGACGTGGTGGCCAGTAGGAGTGGGTGAAGGCGAGGGAACGAGAGGACGAGGGCGTATTGTCCCGCTGTATTAGTGCGAAGAAAGGCGAGGACTGTGAGCGAAGTTCGAGATGGATGTCTTAGATTTTGTGGACGAGACATGAAAAGTGCAAAGAGTGAGGGTGAGAGTGAGACGAGAGACGAGAGACTGAGAGTCTGAGAGGCGGCGAGAGACGGGTAGGGGAGAAGCTAGACGGCTGGATGAAGCTAAGAAGATACGTACCGAGGAGTTCACCACAAGCCGGTGCCACATGCGTAGCCATCCCTGGAAAGGCGCAGACCGGGGGTGAGTCCGCGGGCGGGAGAGGCAATTGGAAAGTGGGATGGTGGGGTGGGGCGCACCTTCTGGCTTCGCGCTTTCTGGAGCAAGGGCAGGAGCTCTCTCAGTCGCAACTGCTCAGTCAAAATTTCATCCTTCTTTCCCTCCCGACCAGTATGGATGTGGGTGGACACGGCAAGAAAGAAACAGGGGTGGTTTCTCATGGCTCAGCAGGGATTGTGCAGGGTTCTCAGACGTTGTGACTGGATATGTTTCTTGAGGGGGTTCATTTGGGGCCTAGCTACGGCCCTGACACAATTCGAGGGAAAGAACAGTCCGAGGTCGACCTCAAGCTACGGATTCTCAGAGGGCAAGAGCAAGCAAGCTGCAACACTAAGGTAATAACTACGGTAGCAAACCCGGAGGTAGGACCGATCGTGAGAGGCAGCGCAAAGCAGAGCACCTGAAATAAGGTGCATATCTTGACTGCCCTACCTTACCTTAATTCTTACTTTACCCCATGCTCAGGACCGAAGAGCCAATTGACGCCCAAAGAGCATTGTCAAAAGGGAAGAGAAGCGCATGAGCCGATGCAAGGGCAGAAGCACCCAGCTCTGCAAGGCCCTCTTTTTGCTGGTTTTTTTTTCCTTGCTGTGCTTGTGTTCGTCAAATGCTCAAGGTATCTTTCCCGGCGGATCCTCCTGTCACTGCACCTACCTGCACCTGCACATTGAAGGTAAACATCGTATGTACTTTTCACTCGGTTCCTACCTTGCCTGAGGTGGGTGCCTACCTGGTATGAGAAATGAGACAGACGGCAAGGACAATGGAGGACGACCAAGAGGGAAAGAGCACCAGTGCACGGAACAAGGGTCCTTCGTTCCTTCCCTGCTGCATCTGCAGGTGACGAACCTTTTTCCTTCGAGGTTCAGTGCCCGAGTGCTGAGGTAATTAACACTGGAAGTAAGGCATCTTTCAGTGCTTTCCTATCACCATCTCGAGTCCTTGACAGTCATCTTCTGTTCCCGTCATTTTCTCGACATTTTTATCATATTCGCCCAGACCTACTGGCTTCTTGCCGCTGCACGCTCTATGCCCTTTTCGCTGCCTCTTTGATCATTTTGTTTCGTTTCGTTTCTTATTTCACTACCGGGCCAATATGATCGATCCCCTCCCAACGACCCTCCGATCCTTCATCGCGCATCGTCGCCCTATCTTCGTCACCTAAACACGAAAACAGGATATACCAACCGTCTTGACAATGCCAGCTCCTCAGTGGTCCCCCAGTCTCTCTCTGGCTCTCGAGCCGTCGTCCATGCTAGACCTTCCGAGGGCCAATCACTCCCGCAGCTTCGAGGCTGAATTCGGACCCTCTTCCGTCAGTCACCAGAGTCTTTTTGTGTAACACAGTGACCTCCCTTGTCAGTATCGAGCAGGTTTGCTTGTCATCTGTCGGCGGGGGAGAGCGACATCCACCAGCCACTCCTGCCATCTATCAAACCCATCACGGCCGTTACGTCTTGTCTCTCGTCGCAAACAGCCTCGACGCCACCCACCAGAGGTCGATCCTGACAAGATGCGAGACGCATGACATGAGATAGCCTCAACTCAAAGAAAGACCTCAGGAGTCTTTGGTACCGATACCTACGTCGCATCATAGCTCTTTTCTACCATGTCGCCAGGTATTGGGCACCGAACAAGCCTTTTCTTAAACGATTACGCACTCTCTTCGCCGTGAAGCAACGCCATGCACGACATCTGTCGAGCCTTTCAGAGACGTTGAGAGTTGCACCCCCGGATTCAGGCACACTTCGGGCAGCTTGACCCAGGCACGAATTGTGCCAGTCCGCACCTAGTTTGATATGATGCCGCTGTGATCGGCCTCTTCACCCCGGCTCTCTCCACCATCACGGAAGCTTGGACTTAACGCCGTCAAATATTGACAGCAGCACCCTGTGCAACCTTTCTCGCTTGCATGCAACCGGGCTCGAGCGTCGTCTTCAACACTGGCTGTCACCTTTTCCACTGCCTCGTGCCTGTTGATCCCGCAGACACGACTCGCTTTGTCGTCAGAGCGCAAATTCCTGGCAGATAATTGGCGCATTGCATAGCCAGGGCAACACGACGAACGATTTCGAGGCCGACCTGGCAGCCGCACTACTTCTGTTACCTGTAACCCTCTGAGGGCATCACCGAAAAGATCGCCGCCGCTAATGCGAACACGCAAAACTTGTCAACATCAGATGAGTGTCCTCATTGCAGCCACAATGACCGCAGGGTGCTGCATCGAGCCAATAAACCAGCACTATGAGGGTGCAAGCAGGCCAGTTGAAGGAAGCTTTGCATCTTCTTACACAATGCCCTACTTCCAGGCTTTCCTGTATCATTACAAACTACGGATGTCAAGGCCGAGTGGACGATTCTTTGTTGTCTCCAACATGGCAACACCAAGTTGACCCAGAGAAAATCCACCGGGATGCCACCCTGGCATCGGAAGCGTCCCATTTCTATCAACGTCCCAACACGCAATTTACCCTCCGGCGCTGCTTTTCCCCGACTGGATTTTAAGAATTGGGCCCTCGGCGGCGTCTCCATATCAAATCTTCCCTCAGCTCCGCTTCCTAGCTGGGACGTTGTCATAAACCTTCATTGCTGAATGCAGTCACGAACTTTCCTCCTAGTTGACAGCCCAGCCACCAATGGCTTGAATTTCTTGACGAGACGAGACTACGGCCGCGAAACGTCCCGGCCCCAGGGTCCAGACTTCAGATCCAAGAGCTTGATCGGCTCGAATGAAAAAAAACGCCCCTTTCTCTAGTCAGAGATCCTTGCTCAGAGGAGTCCCTGGATTTAGTCCTATGTCGGAACGGGCACAGCCAACCGCTCTTGTCACAGAAATCTCTCAGTTTTTTGCTTTTAAACGTCTGTTCGACTAGGCTGGAAGACACCCCACTCGTAGATCGGCCCGTGACACCAGCGACCTTGAGCCACGAAGTCATATTCATGTTGTGAGTGCGGGTCTAGGGAGGACTTCCAAACGCAAGGGGCAGGCCAGCTTGACCAGCGTCTTGCGCAAGGGGGATTCGTCAACAGCAATGGGAAGAAACGCCTAGAATAGGTGTCGCTAAGCAACTTCTGCTCGCAAAGCCCGATTGGAAGACTCTTCAAGAGCTCGCAACTCTTTGGCTGACCGGGATTCCGCAGCTTGATGCCAATGCCCGAGCTCGTCTTCAACAGGGACCTACCTACCTTTGTCGGAGCCGCTCTTCGGTCGCGACTCGACAGCCCGTGCCTACCGCAACCTCATGTGACACAAACAACGTCGTGTCCTTCCTCTACGATACGATCCAGAGCTGACAGATGCTGGCAAGTTGGGTCATCGCCTCACTCCTACCGTCAAGCCCGCCTTCGAGACTCAAGTCAGTTTACAATGGAAGCGGTCTAGTCACTTTGGTGGTCTCAGGTCATCGTCGACCACACGATGGGCAGTTCTTTTGGCATACCTTCACCCAATCCCGACTCTGACCTCTCATCAATGGACGATTTTCCGATGGATATTCATCAGCAGCTTTACCGTTTCCGGGATTCTCATTCGATCACAGGGCAGACCCGCTCCAGTACGGAAACATCGCACTGGTGACTGAGACAATACCTCCGGACGCCGTACTCACGCTTCCGGATGCAAGTCGACGGTCGCCAAAGTATCTAGGTAGCTCGACCTGAGAGGGGCAAGCTCATCCAATTGACCGTCGTCAGTGAGAAGATACCACAAATCATGAGGGCTGGTGATTGGCCATGGCGGCGTCAGCCAATACACAAGCACTAGTTATGGCAGTGCCGTCAAGCGAAGGTACGCCACAGTCTCGACTGATTGCTTTTCCGACTTCGGTGTGGACACCGCCTCTGCCACCTCCCTCACAGGTCAAATGATTTAGCCAGTTTGTGAGCCACCCAATGGCGCCGATTTTGGGTGAGCCCTTCGTAAGCTGTCGACAAGAGGCCAAGCAGGTGTAAAAGTGCTGCAAATTACTTCAGGAAAGAGACCCATGGCACACTTTACACAGCGGCTAACAACATGGTGTCCTCTGAGGTATCTCGTGGCGAAAGTCACCGCGGCTGTACTATTGTGCATCCGATAAAGATGGGGTTTCCAATACCTACTGCTAGACTTGAGACCTGCATAGTAGGTGTTGCGCGAGGCAACCAGCATCTAGAGGAAAAAGCAATGACTACGAGGCATGATAACTTGGCCATCGTGTCATGCAACTTTTCGAGCGTGGGCATTACTTACTTCTGTCCGCGACTCGCGAGTTCGAGTCGATATTCCTGTCCACTGTATCCGCAATGTCAACTGCCCATCACTTGAAACGCGTACTGGCCCTGTCAATATTCTTCCCCATGACAGAAAAGGGAAAAATGATTTCGTAGTAGTCAACGACAGCAGACCAGCTTGGCGGAGGTCGCTAGCCGAGTCTTGCAGCTGTTCATCGCCTTTCTTCCCGCCCAAGGTACTCAAAGAGTGCTTGCTCCTAGACTTGATGCGACGTTGGTCCCGAAGCAGTTGGCATTGCGCTCTACATAACCAGATCATCTGCCGTCAATTATTGCATATGGTCCACGGATGGATCGACAAGTTTACAAGACTGCGATGCGACTAAGCATCAATGCCATATCACCAAATACGACTGTCTATCCAGGCAAGCCAGGCTCCATAAGCTTTCATCCCGCGTGACAGACATTACAAATTCTTCAGCTCATCTCCTCTTCAGCTTACACAAATACTACCACGGTTTCGGTCGTCCAAGGTTTTCGCGTCCTTGCGGGCGGCTGTAACATATAGTAGTCGTACTGTGTGTCCAGAGCACATTGGCTGTTCTCGTATCACGAAGGATGAGCCTAGCAAGTTCTTCCCACACTTTCGTTAATCCGATCTCTTGTCATATCTTGTCGAGTTAACCATGAACGGCTAGATTTCCCCATTCAATCACAGATGTCGCCAGCCGTAGTAAGTACATAATCGGGCCATCAGACAGCCACACCCTCCCGAGCAAGCCACACGATCTCATCGCCAATCACTACCGAAGGCACATCACCGTTCTCGGCACCTTTCGACACTCTGTGACGCACGGGTAGCAGCGATCTCGGGCCATCACTTTTGATTTGGATTGGCAATATCGGAAGCAAACCACCTCCAACCCTGAAAGCCACGAGCTCTGCTGTAGCTTCCCGCTCGTGTCGATTGTCTATCGGCCAAGCCCCCAGAAGAGAGACATCAAACGTGTTTCTTCTAAGCTTATTAGCAGGAAAACGATTCCTCGCAAAAGCAAAAACCATAGCAGGATGTGTGTGTACCTACCAGCCTTCGAGTCAGAAAGTCGCCTCTCCGTGCCGGATGACGACGAATGCCTATGTCGGTGGCGGCAGGCCTCCATCACCGCGCAGAGCTGGTGATGCAAGGGGTGCAGCAAGCTCTCGCCCACATCGTGCTCACAACGTGGAATCACGACCGGGGTCCGGGAACGTTCCGGTCCAGATACCCTAATGCTCGAGATGTAGCTCCAGCATTGAACACCGGCGAGACCGGCTTCCCCGTCGTGCAGCTTCCGGGAATGCATGACGGCGCGGCCCCTCCCAATGGTGTCCATCTGCTTGCAGACATTTGCAGCAGCAAGACCTTCACACTGTCGGTGCAGGTACGCTGCGGCCGATGCGGCCGGGGATACTGAGCGTCTGCTTCCGACTGCGGTGGGTAGTCGGTCCTGAGGTCTGGGCCCTTTCGCTGTCGACTTAGTGCTCTTCCCGTCGAAGCCTTTCCGGAATCTTCCATCACCTAGCGGAGGTTCACGGACGTACAGCTCTTGGAGCATGACGGCCGTACTAACAAGCCACAGGCTATTTTCCGTCGCCTAGTCGGAAAGCAACCTGACTAATATCTCGATTCTGGACGGGAGTCTCTATCCGGCATATAAACGGTTGAAGGTAGCCAATATCTCGAGATCTAGGGCGTCGACTCGAGCCTACGAGGTTGCTGCCGGGAAAAAAAAGCGATCTCCATTCTTGGTATCACAGAGGTAGACGTGCTCCAAGCGGATCTCGTATCCATGTTCTCTCACTCGTGGAACCGACAAGCTGGGACGGCTAGTAAGCAACGACCTCTAGAAGCTACGACACGCGAACACGCGACATGCGACACCAACTGAACAGAAAAATGTCTTCATCTCCACGCGGGTCCCAGCCCCAGACATACGCAAAACTATTGACCCATCGCTCCCCTCCTACACATGGAGGGAGTGCGTAGTCGACGACCGAAGCGACCCAAGCTGAGACAAAATGGAAAAGTTTGTGCAGTGGTAATCGTTCCAACGGGCGCGTGCTTTGGGATGGAGTAAGTAAGTCAGTAGGAGAGACAATGTAATCTTGCGCGGATGCTGTGACAGGGAGGCGGGTGAGAGAAAGTTGTGGAAATGAAAGTGACAACGTTTTAATATACCCCCGGGGCCCCGGCGCCGCGGCCGTTGATGGCGAGTTACGCAGGGAGAGAAAGCTTCAGATGACGGGATAGATGCAAAGGGATGATCTATCCGATTTAAATCCTGGAAACCACGTTTGAACGTTTGGACCTCCTTGTCTTGCCATACAGAAGAAAATCGTTTTGTTTTCCTTTCCCTTTCCCACGTTTTATTGTTGAACTTGCAGGAACTATCGAGCGTTGTGCTGTGCTCGGCAGGGACTCGGGCAAGGGAGTGGAAGGGATGGGGAAGAGGGAGTCAACTGTCTCTCATATCTTTAAGCGATACCGACCATGGATTTCACCATTTGCTAGTCTGGTCTTGTTCGATAACCGACGTTTCGTTTCATCCTGGAAGCTATTATTTTAGGCGTGCCAGGTAAAGCATTCTGGTGTCTGACTGACGCCCGAGGCGAGCGGACTTTTCATCACCAAGATTACAAGTTGACGTACGCAGCTTTGACGGCATGTTTCGATCTTGGGCTTACCAGACCTTTGAGAATGTGACGAACGTTAAACTACGTACGTCGACTGCTGGCTTAACGAGCGAGATGTAAAGTCGTGTTGAGTACTCCATATTGGAGTGGTGTATGAGTATCGTGTTATTTGTGGTCGGGGTACTTGCTCGATTATAGAGCTTCCGTCAGCCATGTGAATCGATGATACGTGTGTGATTGGTGGCAACCTTGCCGATGCCGGGATGAGTATATGTGTCTAAGGCCGGTTCTCCAGGTGGGCATACTCTACCTCGTTGCTGTTCCCTTCGTCCTCACATTGTACTTTGGGGTTGGGTGCGATGGAGAAGTGACTCGAGTTGCTTTCCTGAAGATTTTCTACCTGATGGTAGAGGGATTGGATCAAAGAGGTGGTATGATTTCATTGCCCTTCCCCGTGTGAAGCCTCTTCTTTGACCAATTGGCCGTTTATCAACCTGTGTAAATCAACAACCATCTTCAACTGTGGCAATAAAGTCCTCAACGCAAGATGCTATACATGTAGACTCTTCGAGACAGAAATGTGGTAATTCACTCACAGATCTCGGCGTAGACATCAAGCTGCTGTTGCTGGGCATTCTGTTCTATTGCATCCGCGTTCCACGAGCCGCAGGCCTAGAGCAAGGAAAATCGCCAGTGTCTTTGGGGCGATGAACCGAGGTCATTAGTTCGTTGGGTGTTCCACGTGGAACTCGAGCATTTGAGCTTAGTGACCGGTTCTTAGTAGCATAAGGGATGATCTAGAGCAACTGTGGGATATTTCTCCTGTCATTAGAGTCTCGGGGATCATCATTGAAGACTTTCCATTGCTATCTGACTATCTTTCCGTACCCCCCCTCCGAAGAACTACACAGAAGCCCTCGGCCACTTCGGAACAAAAGCTTGAGCAAACAACTACGAGACAGGTCAATATACGATGGTTTGGTTGTGTTTGGTTGTAACCGTATCATTTGGGTCTTCTCCTGTCTGCCTAACTCATCTGACGATTTCAGTCCAGCACCTAGACCGAAGTTGTCCGAGAAAGATGCGTTTACTTCCATATCTTTTTTCGCGTCTCACACCAACCCAATGCCGACGACTCATGCTACCCACCCGAATGGCTAACCGCGAGAAAAGATCAATCTGTATGATATTGCCAAAGTGGTGAAGGCTGGTGTCTGTTCATCACCAGGTCGACGTTGGCAAGAACCTTCTCCCAAATTGCCTTGCACGAAGCCTTGTGGATCTTGCGATGGGTCCTTCGACAGTCCTTTGGAAATTTCAGCTTCACTTTTCCAAGAACCCCATCGAGCTTGAGTACTTACGATGCCGCAGTACCAGGCAGCCTGGCAGTGGCCGCACTTCTTCAGGTTGATACCGTGGTCTGCGTGAATCTTGCCGCAATGGAAGCAGCTAAGCCCAAGCTGTTAGTCGATGCCTCGTATGGACAATCCGGCTATACTTACCTTGGCTCGTGAAAGTCTCGAGGCGTTCCCGGCTGATAGTTGTCGAGTGCAGTAAGGAATTGCGCTTTTCCGGGGTCACGGAAACCAAAGTCCATCATCGGCAAGGCAAAGCGATGTTGGCAAGGTATCTTGGGAACGAGGTCGCGTAGATGCTGCATGTCGTCTGCCTTGATCTTGGCTCCACCACGCATCATCAAGGCGCCGACCACAATGGTTCGGTACTGGCCTTGATGCTCGTGTTCGAGGGCTCGATACTTCTTGAAGAGTTCGTCGCCGACTCCGGAGTCAAGCTGTCCTCGGATTTCTGTGACGAAGCCGCGGTAGAATTGTGCATGTTCCTCAGTTTCTTAAAACTCTCTCGTCTGCACAGGAGCAACCATGTCGGTCTTATTGATCATGAGATAGAGATTAAGCTTCTCAGGACCATCGCCGAAAGCTTTTCTGATGGCGGCGACGATGTCAAGATCCTTGTCGCCCTCGAAAAGACCTGATGTATCATTGTTCAGCAGAGAATAAGAGAGGGGAGGGCAGGACAGCATACGGAATCCCCAACGACCCATGTTTAGGTTAGAAGGTCTTTCTGGAAGGACGAATAGACCAACAATTTTGAGATCCTGAAGATGACCAGACCGTAGGATGTGATGATTCAGGTGCGAGAAGGTCCTCGCAAACAAGGAATCACAAGGTAGGAGCGAAAGGAAATGGAGTGAAGTCGGCAAAGTCTGAGACGACGTGGAAGAGTTGAAGTAGGCAGGTAGGGATGTACCTCATGTAGACTACGGGATCACGCACCTGCCGTTTGCAAGACAGGCAAGGGCAACGACCGCTCCTTCATCAAACATCTAGCTAAGAAGGGGCAAACGTTACTCTGAGGCAGTCGCATGAGGTAAGCGTCAACACGTAGAGAAGACCAAAAAAGAGTTCACCCCCCCGGTGCTAGACTGGGGGCTACATCTCTTGGTGCTCATGCTGGGATTCGAACTCGGGTACTCTCGTATGCGCTGAGCCTGTCGTCGAGTAGGCTGGTTGGTGTAGAATTCAATTGTTAACCATTAACCACTCCACCACCCAGCCAGTTTGACCTGACACGTCGACCTAGACGGGCGCCTCCTGGCTGGTGACAGGAATGGACTTGGACGGGTATATATGGGCTTCCTGGGTATTCAGGTGGAAGGCACAGTCAACACTCACCCGCTCCTTCCAACCCGGACTACCTACTTTGCCTACCTTACCCGAACTAAGATAGATAGACGCCATGGCCCTCTCGCAAAGGTTGCGTCACGGGGAATGTCTCGCAGCATGTGTAGGAATGAGAGTGCAAATCATTGAGTTTCAAGGCTTGCCGAGAGCAAACGTAGTCTCATTCATGTGTAAGTTTCCAATTGGTTATGTGCGGTATTTGATCTCTGCACACGGATCTGCATGAGTTTGAGGATATGCCATCAAACAAACGGATGCTCCGGGAAGGGAAGCCCATCTGCAGTGTGCCGATGAACATGCCGTGCCCGTAAGGTAGATTCCGATCCCGCTTTTAAGTGCCCCCAGGTTTCCATCTATTTTCTTCCAAGTCTGTTCAAATATGCTCAACGCCATCCCCGACAGTTGTGCCAGATGGGAGCTGTTGCTAGGCTGTTTATGTTCAGCCAGCAATTGACTAAGTATCTGACCGTCTAAGAAGCTCAACGATCACCAAGACACCATTCTGCAGTCAGGAATCACATCAAAATCAACATGAAGAACCGAATTAGTGGTTGGGGGGATGGCAATGAGGTGGTACGTTGTGGTGAATATTGTGCTGCCTAGGTATTGATATAACAGCAATCGCCGGTTACCTATGCTCCTCCTCGAAGTGACTTGGAGAACTGTCGAATGAATCCATGCTGCCCATTTCTTTCCGCAAATCCAACGAGTATAGGTTGGCAAGTTGACCTATGACTTGTTCAGGGGTAGAGAGGAGGCCGATTAACAACGTGCCTGTTCTGCCCGATTTCTTTTTTGTTCGTAATCTTGACATTCATCCCCAAACGCCAATGGTATCCGTGAACCATCCTCCAACTACAAAGCATGCGAGGTATCGATATCTTTATCCGTAGCCTATCTTCGCGGGGGAGGGTTGAAGCCCGGGGCTCCGCCAGGAGGGCCGGGGTTGAAACCAGGAGGAGGGAAGGGGGCGTTTTGAGGGAAGCCCGGGGGCGGGAAGGCACCGGGGAAGCCCGGGGGAGGAGCTGTAAAGTGTGAGAAGCGCATTCGCGGGTCAGAGGGGTATGTGTACTCACCACCACGTCCACCAAAGGGCGGGGCACCAGGGAAACCAGGGAATCCGGGAGGAGCACCACCTCCAACGCCAGCAGCAGGGCCCTACGTCAAAAGTCAGCGTCCGAAGCTCATGAACAGAGAATAGTGGGGTACTAACGGCCAGTGATGGGGGAGCCGGGGCGGCGCCGCGGCCGGCGGGTCGCGCAACACCAGGACCAGCGGTGAGACCGGCCGAAATTCCGCCAGGCGCGCTCTTTCCAAGTCGTGCACTGGGGTCCGCGGGCGGCTCTGATTCCACTGACAGGGAGACAATGTGTGCGCCGCGGACAATCGTCAGGCCGAGGGTTCGCTTCTCCTCCTTCTCGATCGTTTGGCCGGAGCTGGAGCTAGCGCCAGGGGCGGCAGGCTTGTTCTGTCTGATCTTGACGCGTCTGAACTCTTCGGTATCGGCGAGGACGAGGTTCATGTGCTGTACAGATTGTCAGCATGATTGTAGAGACGCGATTGAGGGTAAAATTGGGTTGCGCACCTTGTCAAATGCAAGCATCTGTCCGGTCATCTGGCGGCCATCGTTCAAGGTAACCCTCATGCGGTAGTTGATCTATTAAGTCGCGTCAGTCTGTACCCTGCGCAGTAGCCTGAGTCGATCGTCGGGTAGTTCTCGAGGAAAATTACGTACGTAACCAGCCTAGAAATGAAGAACTTCGTGTCAGCCTGTATTGTCAACCTTGAAACTTTGAGAGAAAGGTCAGGAGTTGCTCACCATCTTGCCCTGTTTGTTCGACATCTTGGGTGATGTTTGTGTGAGGAGCTACTTTCGTAGCTGCTCTAAGTCTTCAAAAAATTGATGTTATGCTTGTTGCGAAGCCTGAGAGACTTCAGCGCGACTGTTGATGCTTGCGATAGGCAGAGCTTCAGCAGTCAGAGGATATGGAGACAAATTTCGGGAGGCTGAGGGAACCTTGGAAGGCTGAGGCCAAACGACGGGACCCTCCATGCTTGCAATCGGTACGTAGCTTGATGTGGCTGATGGAAGCATCTACTCGGGCCTCTGTGGCTCGTAGTTGTGGCTAAGAACACGGGTGAGCGCACCACTTCCAAGTGGGTCGTCACCCACCTTCCTTGCAAGGGCTCGCAAACCCCCCAAAACACAAAGTCTTTTTCTGCCAATTGGCGCCGAACTTTTTCCCACTTTGACAATCGACAATCGACACCAAACGCCCAGCCAGCCGTACCGCAGTACTAACCGCCAAAATGTCGTCCGAGAAGACCCAGAACCCCATGCGCGAGCTTCACATTCAGAAGCTCGTTCTCAACATCTCCGTCGGCGAGTCTGGTGACAGACTGACCCGTGCCGCCAAGGTGTTGGAGCAGCTGTCCGGTCAAACCCCCGTCTACAGTACGGCATCACCAAAAATTCCCACGACAAGAAACGATGAACTAACAGTACCCGACAGGCAAGGCCCGCTACACCGTCCGTACCTTCGGTATCCGCCGTAACGAAAAGATTGCTGTCCACGTCACCGTCCGTGGCCCCAAGGTACGACAATTTTGGCGGAATTCGAAACTGCGCAGGAAGGATGGTGGACTGACTTGATGATTACAGGCTGAGGAGATTCTCGAGCGTGGCCTCAAGGTCAAGGAGTACGAGCTCCGCAAGCGCAACTTCTCCGAGACCGGCAACTTCGGATTCGGTATCTCTGAGCACATTGATCTCGGCATCAAGTACGACCCCTCCATCGGTATCTACGGCATGGACTTCTACGTCTGCATGACCCGCAAGGGCGAGCGCGTCGGCACCCGCCGCCGCTGCAAGGGCCGCATCGGCTCTGGCCACCGCATCAAGCGTGACGAGACCGTCAAGTGGTTCAAGTCTCGCTTCGATGGCATTGTCCGATAAATGTTTTCATTTCCTGCGACGAACGAAAAAGACACTGGGACGGCTTGGGTTAACGGTTGGCGAAAAATGGGAAACTGGCTTATAAGGCATGTACTTTCCAGCAGTTGTTCATACAACACGCTTGACTTGAGCAAAAATTCAGTCAAGCCGCGGCCTCAGAGACCGACCGGCGTCATGCCGGCTTACAACACAAGTTCCTTCTTACCGTGATGCTGCTCATGATTCTTTTTGGTGACGATGGCCCGCGATATGGAAGCGGCCTAGGCGTTGGTGGTTTAGCTAGTCTATTTTAGTCCAAATAAGCTACAATACTGTACTCACGGCCTATGTCTCCCATCTCGCGTGAAGTGGTAAGCCAATTTTCCTTGCCAAGATTTGACCTCACTTCTTGAGGCTGCACGTGACCAATGTTGCATTGAGAATCGATTTTGGCCTCGAGGCTCAACGGCGGGTAAGACTACGAGGCTGACGGCAGAAATGCGACTCGGATTTCACATTGCTCCGAGGCGGTCAGGCTCGGTGTTCCCGGCCGGATGGAGGCACCAAAGTCCCACAGCTTCAGTACGCCTTCCGTATACGTGCACTGTGTCCTGTGCCTCTGGGCTCTCAATGAGTGCTTGAAGTCGGAGAGGTTGGCATTCCTCAAGAGAGTGGAATTGCACAGTGGAGAGCTTTGCACCAAAAATGCCGGGGAAGGGGGGGGGACAACACTGGGAAGCTACCTGGACTAAGAGAACAGCGCATGCATGCAGATATGAGAATAGGTGAGGTCAAGGGATAATTGAAGCTATCATGATACGTAGGCAATTACCGGGGCGATGGCTGAAAAGTCCCGGTATCGCAATGGATGGCGACAACTATTTTATCGCAAACTCAATGGGTGCGGCGGAAAGCCAGACTGGCACCAATTTTTATGTTTTATTATTTTTTTTTCACTCGGGCCCAGTTCCCCTTCCTTTCGGTTGAGATTAGATCGTCCTTCCCAGCGCGTTAAAGACCTGTCAATGTCAGAGCGTCTTTTCCCCCTGTCTTATGTAAGTCAGGCATTTCACGGGGTTACGGGGCCACGACGGGCACGTATGCGGTGGTCGGAAATTGTTAGGGAGATCTCGGGTTGGACTGAGGCAAAACTCGACGGCCCACCGTGATTGGCCGGCCAGCACAGCTTCGGCTCCACTGCTTCCTCACTCTCTTTTCCCTCCACTGGGCTTCTTCCAAAAAAGACTCGATTTGCACTCCTTCAAAGGCACCTTCATCAACCCCAATCTCCCCTCCACTCAATTGCATCTATTGCAATTGATTCTCCTTCGATCTAGACAGTGTCCAAGATCTTCTAATATGTTCCGCAACGCCCTCCGCCAGTCGACGCGCGCCGTCGGCGCCGTCTCTGCTGCCGGCAGAGTCGCCGCCGTAAGTCCACACCTTCCGTCAACCTCCCCATCCCCGAACCGACGTCAATTCCATCCAAAAACATCAGCAATCGATTCCGCGATATCCAATTAGGTCCCTCCGAGCTTTTTTGACCTCGCGGGAGTCGCGTTGCTGGCGTGGAAGAGCTTTTCATCGAGCTCCCTTGGGGGATGCGTTGCTGTTTTGGGGCGGGAGCCGCCCATAACATTTTCGGCCGTTCGGCTAACCTGTTTTTTCACCCTCAGGCCCGAAATGCCGCACCCGCCGTCTTCAACATGCAGACTCGCACATACGCCGAGGCCAAGGCTTCCCCGACCGAGGTTTCTTCCATCCTCGAGCAGAGAATTCGTGGTGTCCAGGAGGAGGCTGGTCTCGCCGAGACCGGCCGCGTCCTGTCCGTCGGGTACGTTTAAGCGGCATCTCTCGGCATCGCGAGCCACCATCGGAAAAGCTTCAATGCATCATCGGACTGCACAAGGAGCTCGCATGTCAACTCATCGGCACCAAGAAAAGTTTTTGCTAACGGCGAGGGAACAACAGTGATGGTATCGCCCGTGTTCACGGCATGGCCAACGTCCAGGCTGAGGAGCTTGTCGAGTACGTTAAGCGCCCTTTACTTACTTCGGAGATGCATCGCGTCTAACTCTTCACCTATAGGTTCGCCTCCGGCGTCAAGGGCATGTGCATGAACCTCGAGGCCGGCCAGGTCGGTGTTGTGCTTTTCGGTTCTGACCGTTTGGTCAAGGAGGGCGAGACTGTCAAGCGTACCGGAGAGATTGTAGGTTCAACATGCTTACTCGACTACGGCCAATGTTTATTAACAACACTATAGGTCGATGTTCCCGTCGGTCCCGAGCTTCTCGGCCGTGTCATCGACGCTCTCGGTAACCCCATTGACGGCAAGGGTCCCCTTAACGCCAAGGAGAAGCGCCGTGCTCAGCTCAAGGCTCCCGGCATTCTGCCTCGCAAGTCCGTCAACCAGCCGGTCCAGACTGGTCTTAAGTCCATCGACGCCATGGTTCCCATTGGCCGTGGTCAGCGTGAGTTGATCATTGGTGACCGTCAGACCGGAAAGACTGCCGTCGCCCTCGACGCCATCCTTAACCAGAAGCGTTGGAACAACTCCAACGACGAGACCAAGAAGCTTTACTGCGTCTACGTCGCCGTCGGTCAGAAGCGTTCCACCGTCGCCCAGCTCGTCAAGACCCTTGAGGAGAACGATGCCATGAAGTACTCCATCGTCGTCGCTGCCACCGCCTCCGAGGCCGCTCCCCTTCAGTACATCGCTCCCTTCACCGGTGGTAAGTAAACACTCATACAGTTTAGTCACACTTTCAGAAGACAGGAAACTAACATATCTCTCAAGCCTCCGTCGCTGAGTGGTTCCGTGACAACGGCAAGCACTCCCTCATCATCTACGACGATCTGTCCAAGCAGGCCGTTGCCTACCGTCAGATGTCCCTGCTGCTTCGTCGTCCCCCCGGACGTGAGGCCTACCCCGGTGACGTTTTCTACCTCCACTCTCGTCTTCTCGAGCGTGCCGCCAAGATGAACGACAAGCTTGGTGGTGGTTCCATGACTGCCCTTCCCGTCATTGAGACCCAGGGCGGTGATGTGTCTGCCTACATTCCCACCAACGTCATTTCCATTACCGACGGCCAGATCTTCTTGGAGTCCGAGCTCTTCTACAAGGGTATTCGTCCCGCCATTAACGTCGGTCTTTCCGTCTCTCGTGTCGGTTCCGCCGCCCAGCTTAAGGCCATGAAGCAAGTCGCTGGTTCCCTGAAGCTCTTCTTGGCTCAGTACCGTGAGGTCGCTGCCTTCGCCCAGTTCGGTTCCGATTTGGATGCCTCCACCAAGCAGACCCTCAGCAGAGGTGAACGCGTAAGTTGACAATACATCGGTATCCCCTTTCGTGACAAGTACTGACCAATTCTACAGTTGACCGAGCTCCTCAAGCAGAAGCAGTACTCCCCCATGGCCGTCAACGAGATGGTTCCCCTCATCTTCGCTGGTGTCAACGGTCACCTTGACGCGGTCCCCGTCGCCAAGATCCTCCAGTGGGAGGCTGACTTCCTGTCCCACCTCCGCACCAACGAGTCCGACCTGATTGCCACCATCGATAAGGAGGGTGCTCTCAGCAAGGACCTTGAGGCCCGCCTCAAGGACGTCATCACCACCTTCACCAAGAGCTTCCTGGGCTAAATTTTCAAGTCTCACCTGACATAATAAATGGTCCGACTGGGAGCGCTCGGGGTTGATGTAGCTGTCTATACCGAAGTTTTTGTTTGCCTAGAGGCGTGAGGAAATCTCGAGGGTTTTGCGCCGGTCCGAGGGAAGCACCAGGGGACGCGATATTTGGGGAAGGATCTCCAGTCGAACCACTTGTAAAATAGAGCTCAAGACTCAATTAACGCCCTCGATTCCTTTTGTCCTTTCATGAACCTGTTCCCAGTAATTTGTTCCGCCGTGATATG